ACAGAGAGGGGAGAAGTCAGGCGGGGACGCCCCCAGTGGCCCCAGGCCCCACGCAACAAGTGAGCTATCAGCTCCCACCGTCCAGTCATCTTCCAAAGGCCCCCTTGAGCACATGGGGCTTGGGGGCATCCAGTCTATCTGGGATTAGGTTTGAGAATTTATAGTTTTGCTTTCCTTTTACTTTCTCAGGTGATTCTGGTGATCAGCCAGGTCTGGACACCACTGCTCTACCGCATGAGGGGAGCACCTCTGCTCCACCCATCTGGTCCTCTCTTGAGTCCTCAAGGCTGGCCACTCCCCAGGCCCCAAGATGCAGTTGGTGTCTACGTGCTTCGCTGACTTTGCTAAATGAGGCTGAGGACAAGGGCAAGCCCACCACACACCGTACTGCGCATGTGCTCAGGCCCAGGAGAGTGGAGCAAACACCGTCGGCTTTAGCTAAGGCCTGCAGGGAGTCGTATTTTCATTTCTGCCATCATCTTTCCCACTTTCTATTTGCTTGTGTTCAAACTTCTCCCAAAGGTGCTCTGACCTCTGGACATTTAGAAGCCGGAACCATCTGTCAAGTCAGGCCTTCCCCTTGCATGGCACAGGAGTTATAGTACCTTATTGTACACTGCACAGAAGTCTAAAACAATGGAGGTTTAGACATGGACACAGAGCCACACTCAAAGCCTACTCACTTTCTTCACCAGTCTCTCTGTTTTCCACTGCATGACTCAAGGAACCGACTTCAAGGGCCTCATTACTGGCCAAGAATCGCTATCACTGACTCTTACTCTTGCATGGTCAGCACTCTCTGTTGGAACAAATGCCCAATGCTAACACTTCCGGGAGAGGCTTGATTTGCCTCATGACTTCAGTGCGTTTGGTCCGTGGTCGGCGGGCTCAGGCTGAGGCACCAAGGCACAAAGGTGGAGCCAGGCTGCTCAGCTCTGGGACCAGACAGCAGGGAATGAACCAGAGAGTACAGCCCACGGCCAGCGGCCAGATGCAGCCCCCAGCCCCCTACACCAAGAGCGAGCTCCTCCAAGGAGGCCCTACATCCTAATCCTCATTTGAGAGTTAACCCATTGATGAGATTAATGCGCTCAAGGGCTGGCCAAATAGCTCAGTGGATTAAAGAGCCTGCAAGCAGGGGCTGGGGGTTCGATCCCCAGGCCTGCCATGCCAGCCCCACCCCCAGGGCACACTCAGAGGGCGACTGAGACTGGGCATGGTAGTGCAAGCCTGTAATCCCAGCACTTGGGAGTCTGTAAACAGGCGGATCACTGAGAGTCCTAAACACCCTATATACCCTTTCCTAAAATATAAAAAGGGGGGGGGATTAATTCGGTCACCTACTCAAGTGTCTTTTAACCCAGCCAAGGTGACAATCAAGGTTAAACAATATGCTCCCTTATTGGAAGATACATGTGTTTTTTCTTCTTAGGTGAATTAAGACAAAAAGATATGCGAAGACTTTAACATACCCTAAATTATACTTGCAATTAATTAGATCGTAACAGAGAAAGCAGGAGACATAGAATCTAAGAGGAAAAATAACGTTTGACAAACCAAGTAGAACAAGCGAAATCTGTTACTGTGGTCTGAAGGTACATAGAATGACATTTTATTCTCAAAGACCAGGTCATATGCGGTCAATGAGGCCAGCACAATGACACTTGGAAGACCTTTCAAAATAATGCCACCAAATTGGGATTCATGAGACAGGAAAGGGTGACTTGGGCTGTAATGCAATATACTTGCAGAGGCCAACACAACTAGAGGTGAGAAGGCCAAGTGTTATGGAATTAGCTCGGGCAGGATCTTTGTGGCTCTACAAGATTAACAGGGTACATCTCACAAGAGGTGTCGCAAGGGACTTTACCAGCAATTTGTTTAAATCAAAAGTGACAAGCAGCAATTAAACAAGCATTCTATGTCCTTATTAGATTGACCCTAATGAGCAAGTCCAGATCCTGTTTCCATGACCAAAACAGCCGTTCCTGGCAGCCCCTGCTGGCTAGTCTGCCAGGCCAAGGACAGACTTGCCTGGACCAGGAACGCGGGAAGCTCTGCGGCCAGCTCAAAGTCACTGGAGGCAACAGAGATGGCTTCTGTAGAAAGGGAGACCTGGTCTCAACGAAGCCAAGAGCCTTCCTCACCTCTCTAGGTCCTCCTGCAGATAAGAGGACTGAGCTGGCTGGGATGAGTGGTGTCCCGAAGACCCCCAGGGCTGCCGGCGCCATGTGTCCCCACCCCCAGTACTTTCCTAAAGTTGCTGCACGTTTCTGTTTATTGGCAAAGTATCTGTGGGACTTGCTGAGTTGATTCAGAGCAAAAGCAGGTCCCCAAAAGGCAGGCACCACGGTGAGTTTCTGAGTGTCTCCAGAACCTTCTATGTGTCTTTGGTCAAATATTTGCTCTGGACATTGGTGATGTTATTACATAAATAAATAAATAACTCATTTACAGAATTTAGAGCCTCCAAAGCAACCTCCAATCTCTAACTAGTGAGCAGTGATTCTCTGCCTTGGTTATATAGGCATGGATTTGTTTGGAAAGCAGGACACGGCTGGAGTGGTGGAGCACCGACCTAGCTGGCCGCACGCCTGCTGTGGCTCCATCCCAAACACAACAAACACAAACAAACAAATGAAAAAACACACAAGAAAATACAGGAGAGCATATAGTCATGAGTGTTCATGTAAGCCAAGGCTCCAAACGTGTCCTCATGTTACCAAATGCTTTTTCAGCTGAGAGTCATGCCAATTTCATGAGCATTTACCAAAGCATGGGCTAGAACTGGTCCTACATGATGTTAATAACTACTCTAAGTAGAATTATTCCATGGTTTAATAATCAGAGGAAATCCTGGGCAACATAGATTGAAAGAGATTTATTAGTATATTTATCATAATCTATATTATATATTATTAGAATTTCTCAATGTCATACAATCTCTCAACGGTTTTCATTATTCTGATGTGCTTTATGTATCTCCAAAGCTAGAAATGGACAGTGAAAACTGCTAAGGAATGCTTTCTACATCACTGTTTTTAGGAAACTGAAGACCTGGCCAGGGGCCAGAGAAACACACTTTCAGAATGCGGAGCCACACTGACTTCTAAGGCAGGTTCCTTGTGTTGGAGAATTTTCACCACTGACAACCTGTAATTCTGTGTGGTTCTCAGTCCTGCCTGTCCATCAGAGTCGCCCAGGAGCTTCCAGCACCCCAATGCCCAGCCTTACTCAGCCAAGTCAGGGTCTTCCAGAGTGAGGCTGGGCAGCAGCAGTGTTTAGGATGACCGTGCACCCCGGATTTGTGACCACCTTGGGTGTCGCTGGCCAAGAAAGCTGATTGCTTTGTCCTCAATCAAAGTCAGTAGACTGCAGATCATCTGGGTTCACATTTTATCGTTTAGCATGGTGGTTCAGCCTAGTTGTCCTCTGACTGCCTTGGAAGCCACCTGAGGGTTTACAGCACACTCTGAGCACCTCCAGGCGGAGCCAGGACACTGCATCTGACCCCTCAGCCCTTCCGCTCCGGCGCTGCTCCCTGCTCTGCTTTCTGGACGCCACGAGCGAAGCTGCTTTGCTCAGCAGGCCTTCCCACCATGCTGGTTCTCCCTTGGAGACAACTGACCATGGGCTGAGCCTGCTGAAACTGTGAACTAAGCTAAACCCTTCCTGCTCTAAGTTGTGGGTGCTGGGTACTGGGTCACAGGAGAGGGCAAGCTGACTAATACAGTGTGCTAACGATATGAGCCCCTGGTGATTTCTCTGACCCGTGCACATCTAATTTCACACTTGATGACATGGAGACCTTATCTTGTAGGGGCTGAGGGCCTTAGGACCAATCTTGGAGAGAGACGTGATGTGAGAGGAGGCACCACACAGCAGTCCTTATCCGGCAGCTCTTGGGTAGCTCACTGCAAAAGGCACAGGACCACCCAGAGGGGAGAGGTTCTGGGAGCCCCCAGGGCCAGGGCCTTGAGGTCAGGGCAGTGTGTCCCTGACTGCTGCTCAGCAGCACTGTGGACAGGGCGACAGGGCCTGGGTCAGAGAGCACGAGGCCAAATTGTGCTGTGCTCTTGGAGCCAGCAGGAAGAGGACAGGCTCAAGGGACAGGTATGCGAAGGGCCTCCTATGGGTGGTTTCACTAAGCCTGTTGGAGCCATTTTAAAAATAACTAGACAGAAAAAACATGGTGCTGTGAGCAGACTTTCAAGCAGATGGACCTGAACTTGCAGTGAAGAAATAAGCAACTCAGCACCCGATACATGAAGGCCATGCGTTGGGCCCATTTCTAGGGCCAGGGGTGCAGGCTCAATGAACAAGGCCTGGTGGCTCCTCAGGTTCCAACATTTGGGACGCTCAAGGCCCCTCTGAGGTCCCCCCTGAGGTTAGCCCCTTTTACCATGGGTGTGCTGAGACACTGTTGTTCCTTATAGTAGAACTCCAGTAAGATACAGGAAGAAAATATGGGGCTAGAAAAATCACCATCTGGTCCCCATAATAGCAATTTGTACATCCATGGACTCTAAAATCAGAGGGTAAAAGTACGAGACAGTTTATGTGCACAGTTTCAAAGTATCTCCCCCCAAGATGCTTATTTATCATACAGAAAAGGACAACAACTTCACAGTGGAAGAATCTGGTGACCAATAACACCTTAACCAAATGATCAAACTAACTTTCCCTGACATGCGTGGGCACTGTGGGCTGCCCTCTGCGACACACAAAGAGAAGCACCTTGCCACTCTTGCAGCATTTGCACCAAAAATGCACCACCTGCCTTTAATTAGAGGGAACATTAGACAAATCCAACTTGGGAAAATTTCACAACATACCTGGCCAGTACTCTGCAGAGGTGTCAAGTCATGAAAGAAAGGGACTGAGGGACTGTTCCCAGTTGAATACAACCAAGACCAGAGAAGACTAAACTGAATCTAGGACCATGACAAGACTATGAGTGGCATAAAGGACAAAAATCGAATGAATGCAACAAAGTCCAGATGAGCATTTTAACGAGTCTGCCTGATGATCTGGACAGATGCGGCCTATACGTGACTCCATCATTAACCTTGAGGGCTTGCTAGAAGAGACAGTAAGAGAGACACAGGCAAGTGGGGTACAGGAGAGGAAGCAGCGGTGGGCAGAACTTGGGAGGCGACGGAAGTGGGCTCGGAAGCAGGCCTGGCATCAGGGCATGGGGCAGACACTGGCCTCCAGGGAGCACTGTGGAAGAGTTGGGGATGTTCTGCTGGCTTTCTACACAGTGCTGTCCTTGGCACTGCCTGTGACACTGCTGTGGAGACACCAGCTGCTTTCCTTTTTCTTCTTTGAGCAATGCTCTCTGCTGAGACTCACCAGAAAAGTGGCCGGACGCCTTCCTAACACACTGACCCAGCTGAGATCCTGTGCTTTGCTTGGAAAACAGACCACATAGGCAGTTCCTGGGGGTCATTTAGCTCTGTGATGAACAGCATGGGGACACCACCAGTGACATATGGTGGCCCCAGGAAGTCACATCCCACATGACCCGGGAGGCAGCCCCAGTTGCTGAGCACAGGCAGCGCTATGAGCAGCGTCCACGGTGTCTGGGCGTGCGGCTGAGCCACTCAGCACCCCTTACGGAACATCTTCGGGGGCAGCATCTGCGCGTTTCCTCCTCATCACCTTCAGGACTGGAAGCCAGAAGTGAACCTGAGAAGTGGGTGAATGGACGCATCATTCCGACGTCTCTGACACAAGCTTCTCATGATGGGGCTACTGCACACTTGAAGTGGACAGAAAAGCTTATTTTGTGGGTTTTCTTGGGTTTTCACTATGAGCTCTTTTCCAACTCTAAGTTACTGATGGCTAGTAGTGACAATGCCAGGGCCTGAGATCCACGACTCGCTGATGACCTTACTCTACAGAGACTACAACCCACTCTGCCCGCCCACCCTTGAGGAAGGAGCCAATTCATTTTGACCTTGCAAAATGGGCACATCCTTTGGCAAGCAGCACAGAGGGCCTGCTCCTGAGCCTCCGGGCACGCTGGAAGCTCTGACTGGGCGCCAACATTCCAAGGATATGGTGTAGACTCCTGCCCAGCATTCAAACCACAGTGCCAAGAGCCCTAGCTGTGTGCATTTGTTACTCCCCCTCGGTGTTCTCCCTCCTGTTGGGACACAAGCCCTGACGAGATGTTACAGTGTTTGGAAGTCCTCTTTCCTTCTGCCCTTCAAACTCCACACCAGCTTAATTAGAAATTATGCTCCCACCCTGGCCTTACCTCTGTAAGGTACAGGTTCTGTTTCCTTTTGACTTCTTCCTGAAGCTGCTTTGATCTTTTCCTAAGCAGCTTTGTGTGCAGGTATCGGGTGCGCTGCTGAGCCACGCTAGGGTAGAAGGACGTGGCCACCAGGATTTTGAGTTGCATCAGGATGGAGGACAACAGGCCCAGCAGCACTAACACCACCAGGATAACTCCGAGAGGAGCCCAGGTCGCAGACAGCAGCAGCCTGGGGCTGGACATACAGCTGGGCTCAAACACAGATATATTAAAGGAAGAATCATGGATGACATCTTGAGTTCCTTGCTTCTGAAATGAAAGAATAAAGCAGTAGCCATCCACACAACTTTCCCGCTCTGATTCTTTCTCGATACTTCCCTGCGGCACAAAGCGTTCATCTCCAAATTCACAGGAGAGCTTTGCAATTGCATCTCCCCGTGAGCACTAGGAATGGGGCGAGGAGCGGCCCCATCCAAAGTGAGTTTCCGCAAACACAAGTCCCCTGAGAGAAGGGCACCCGCTAAGTGTTAGCTCTGTCGGGTCGTGGAAAGCAGGCAGACTCTGCCACACGACGCACTTCATGGCTTAACTCAGCTTGCAGGCTCTGAGGAGAGACGGGGACCTGTCCACTGCAGGAGAGTAGCCTTGGGACACAGCCTCTTGCTTCTAGCAGGACAAGCCCTGTATTGGGCCACAAAGACACTGGAGCACTCAGTGGAGCTCCAGTCAGCCTCGGGGAGCTGGAAACAGCAAGGGACTGCTGCGGTGCAGTGTGCAATGCCACTTGCAGGTGGACACGCTATTCCAAGGTCACCATGATGAAGGGAGGGAGTCTGTTCTCGGAGGCTGTAAACTCTGGCATGTTTTTCCTCCTCAGACACTCAAGAAGGGGGCTTCTTTCTCATTTGTGGGAAAGAGACAGGCCAGTTGCCCTCAGAAGCCTGCCACAGAGGCCCGAAGGTGACACTGAGTCACCAGCCCGGCTGTCCTCCCAGAAGTGCATGCTGACTCGGCGCTTTCTTCCCCTGACCTGGGAAAGTCACTGCGGCTCTCGGTGGATTTGTTTGCTAATTTGGTAAAGCAGGAATTAATGGACCAGATCTGCCCATGAATAAGCTGCTCCCAGTGTAGATGAGGCACCTCAGGGATGTAGCACTGGCTGTACAGACGGGCTGCTTGTAAGTTATTATCACCCAAGCGCCTCAGAGTCAGGGCGCAGGAGGTAAACGACTCAGCAAAGCAACAAAACCAAACAAAGCCCCAGCCACACCCGAGCACACCAGCCTCGAGGGCCCAGCCCAGGGAAGAGCGAGAAGCCCCCTGCCTGGGCAGTGGCAGACATTTGTGTGCTTCTCATCTCGAAAAGACAGCCTGGCTACAATTAAACAGTGCCCCGGTCCCCATAGCAAAAGTGCACGCTTTTTTTCATACAACTGGAGAAACAAACACATCAGTTGGGTCTGTGAAGAGCAGGCCTGCAATAAGAAAGCAGCGGGAGCTCAGGCTGCAAAGAAGCTATTTAGTCTAGAGATCTGGCTGGGGACTATTTTGCAGCTGGGAGTCTGGACCTCAGAAAGATGGAGGTAACATTTTTGTGCCGGGTTGAGGGAGGGTAACGTGGAAAGCACACCCGCGCTTTGAAAATGCCGAGCAATCTAGTAAATGGTGCCAAGATGATTTAAAGCTTGTTTACTCCTCCTAAGTACACACATGGCGGAGCCAAACCAGCCTGGGCGACAGTGGAGGGCCCATTCTGGGCTCACCGCTGGGAAAGGACAGGCACCCAGGCACACAGTAGGTGCTCATTCAGAGCACACCAGGCTGCTTTTACTCACAAAGCCCAATCCAAGGCCAGCACAACTTGGATCATTTCCTGTCTTATTTAAAACACTGAAAGTGGGAGAGAAATCCTGGCAGAGCCTCAAGTCGAGGCATCCCTCCCAGCGGAGGAGGCTCTGGGCATCCAGGACAAGGTGGGCGGGCATTGTAGGTTATGCAGGAGCTTGCTGGGGCCAGAGCGCGCTGGACATCTGCTCAATCCCACCTGTGGCCCAGCACCCTGCTGCTGTCAGGCTGTGCCTGGGTCCCCACCCTGCAAGGCCCTGAGCCCCCACAGAACTCCAGGATGAATGGAGTGCCCATACCCAGAAGTGCCCAGGAGGATGCACTGGGCACCCGCACCATCCTTGGAAAGCTTCTGGGGGCAGAGCTCGTTGTCCTCACTGCTACCTAAGCCAGAGAATCACAAAACGGGAGTGGAGGCCAGGTATGGGCTGGAAAAGGAATAAGACAGAAACAGGACAAAACAGAAGACATGGAAGATGGAGCAGGATGAAGCAGGGAGATAAGGACAAGACAAAGGCGAAGGCGGCAGAGAGAGAAGGGGCAGGCGGCCTTTGCATGGCCGCCCCAGAAAACCGGCCTGGCTCTGGAAGCTGCTTCTGTTATCTATCCTGCCCCAAATGTCCGAGCATCAGGGTGCCTTGTAATTAACTAAATTCTTCAGGGAAGCAGAGAGCTTGGAGTAATCAAGTCGGAGGAGACGCGCAGAATTAGGAGAGCAGGAGCCAGGGGGGGATCTGCTGAGCCAGGAGGAGAGGGGAAAGGAGGACGCAGCAGGAAGGCTGGAGCAGGCACAGAGGTTCCAAGCAGAGGCGCAGCGGCAGGCCCGCACCTCCCATGGCTTCTCCAGGGGCCTCCACCATCTACAGCGCCTTGCCACTGAGGGGGCAAATCAGACACAGAGGCGTGGTCGGTGCCTGCTCTGGCCAGACAGCGTGTCAGGCCAGCATACGACACACACACACACACACACACACACACACACACACATGCATACTTGCATGTACATGCACACACCTACACACACACTCAAGCATGAGTTCCACCTGCTTGGCTTCAGGTTCTGGGCTTAAGACAAGGGTCTGGCAATGTCCAGCGCCTCTGTGATATCAGCGTCCTCACAAATTTCCTCAGGGAAAAGGGAAGGCCCAAAGACAGGAGGGAAGCCACCAGCCAGCAACGCAGCTCCTGTGGGATTCTGGAGGAAGCACTGTGTGGTCCTTGCTCTCTGACGGGTCCTCAGTGACGCCCCTGGAGGCCAGGCGGGGGCCACTAGCTTAGCGGGTCTCACTTTCTAGCTCTGTGCAAGAACACCCCAAGGGTGGCCAGGGGCACACTTGGAGGCTGCAGCGGGTGTGTATTGAGAGTGCTTCCCGTTTAAAACACCAGAAGCAGGAAAGGCAGGGAGCAACTTCTCCCCTCGCATCGCAGAAGACCCTCCAGGCCACTGCACACGGGAGTGGGCCACAAAACTGGCTTCAGAGGCCTCCTCCCAGAAGTCGAAGGGAAGCAAGGCAACTGGGATTCTATGCTACCTTCGGGCCGCGCTGGACTTTCTGTGTGCCAGCTTTCTGCCAGGATCAGAGGCCCAGGGGAGGCCTCAGGTCTCACGCCCACGCCCTTACCTGCCCGAGCAGCTGCAGGTGGACCTCCAGCCCCGGCAGGCTCTGCAGCTGTCTGCCCACCGAGCGGAGGAGCCGGTAGAGCAGGTAGTCCATGGCCGCAAACAGCACCCACATGCAGAGGTGGGCCAAGACAGGGAGCAGGAAGAGCCCCAGGGCCCTCCTGTCCCTGGGGGTCAGCCGGAAAGAGGGCACGATGGCATAGGTTCCCCGCTCCTTCCTGCTCAGGGGCAGGACACAGGGCCGCTGCTGGCGCCTCTGCTCCTCATCAAACAAGACAAAGTGTCTGGTGATGTAGACATTTTCGTACTTCCAGCCACGAGGGCCCAGAACCCGCTTCAGGAAGAGCCCTGTGCCGAGGAGGAGGAGCAAAAGCCCAGTGCAGGCAAGAAGCTTTTGGCCCAGAGAGGAGACAGCCTCCGCCATGGTCACCATGTGGTACAGGACGCCCAGGACCTCCCCTTTGGTGTCCTTCAGCTGTGCCTCCAGGGCGTGGCTGGAGCTGGACAGAGAGACCTCCAGGCTGTGGTTCCAAGAAACGAGGTCATCAAATGGGTTTTGGGGAGTGGCGAGGCCATAAATCCACTGAATGGCCTCGATGTATCTTTTCAAAAGTGGGAAATGTACTGAGAAGCTCTTTGCCCTTAGGTTGCAAGTCATGCTGTCCAGCAGATCCTTAAAGTTATGAAAAATATTCTCGATGTGTCCAAAGATCACTATCCCAGTGCCGGCTGCCAGCAGAGCCCTTTTGCCCTCACGCATGCCACAGGACAGGAAGAGGAGGAGGAGGAAGCACCGGGCACGCTTGGAGCAGCACAGCAGGGCCCAGGAGATGGCCCCGCAGGCAGGGACCACTGCAACTGGTGGCAGGAGCCAGCATAAGGCCACAGAGAGCAGGCTTGCTGAAGTCAGGGCCACCAGGCCACAGACAGCCACGTGCTGGATGAAGTCCACCCACCTCGGGCTTCTCGGAAGTACGTAAATCCCCCAGAGATGCCGGAGGGCACTGGTGCCAGAAGTCCAGACACCCATGTCTCTGTGTCCCTAGAAATTAAAAGGAAATCAAAATCTGGAGTAGCTGAAGGGCCAGCCGGCAGACTGACTGCCGCTCTCTGCTACCCACGCAAGGGGACTTCCCGGTATCCCCCACCAGGAGCAGCGGCATCTCTCGGCCCCGAAAGTGGGACTGGCCTTGCAATGGCCGCTGCCCCTGAGGGTAGCATGGGCAGCATGTGCCAGACCCGTGTCCTGGTGCCCCTGCCTTTAGCCACCTGTAAGCCCTTGGACTCCTGGGTTACAGAACAAATGCCCATCAAAGCCTTTCAAAGAGACCTATGCCGTCACTCACTGCTCCAGAGGTTGGACCCCCTCCGTGTCTTGCATCCTGCCACTCTCCTCTGAGGACGACCCTACTGACACGGGGCATCGTAATGGCCCAGGTCATCTGTCCACCTCCAGGTCCCTGGCTTCCCTGCTTGTGGGCACGGCCATCCTCCACCACCAGTCCTAGCCAGCCCCTCGCTGACCACAGACATGTGGCCAAGAAAAAAATCTTATTTAAGCCACTAATATTTGTGTGGATCTGCTGGACTATGATTGTTATCAATAAGGGAACCGGGCAAGCTGCACTGGGTCACGGAACTCCGTAATCGCCACCCGCTTTCCAGTGCTCTAAGTCTGGAGACCAGACTGAGGACAAGGGTATGCACACAGCCTGGGAGGCTGGCCAGCTCGAGTCTGCTTCCAGCCTCGCCTCTTCCGGCTCTGCCCCTGCCTCCCGAGACTCCTCTGACACTCTTGCATGGCGAGTGCGAATACTTTCATCCCCGAGTTAATCATCTTTTTCTTTTTCCCACGTCTGGGATGATTAAAGTGAACTCATGTTAAGGCTGCCAGCCTGTCAGTATTCAGATCCAGGTCTGGGAGGTTCAAAGAGGAGCCTGGGCTCACTTGGAAGGCTACAACTCTGAGATGCTTCTCTCCTGATGGACACAAAAATATCTGATGAGCACCATGCCATATGTTCAGGACGTTAATGAGGACGCTGATCAATTCTTAAGCACTCTTCAATAAATCCCTTCTTACATCGACTGCGACAGGCTGGCGGCTCACTACTGCTGGTGTCAGTGGCCTGCACTTGGTGCCCTCAAGCCACACCGAGCCTGGTGAGGGCAGGCACAAGAGGGGGCAATAGCGGGAATACAGGAACATAAATCTCTCCCACACGGGGCACAGGGCCCTGCCTCCGGTGGGCACTGGGTGGAGCAGAAAGGAGGTGGGTGGCCGTGGAAGAAGGGCCGGTGCCACGTGGCACCAGCTCGGAGACCAGAACCATGCACCAGACGACGCCCAACCGCCAGAAGGGGAGGAAACTAGCAGGGCGACCAGGGCAGGCCTGCAAGCTCACTTCCTGTCAGATCAGGCCGCGAAGGGAGCGTGCTCAGTGTGTGCAGTCCCCAGGAGGACAGGGTGTGCCCCACGTGAGGAGGGACAGGGGTCTCAGCACAGAGAAGCTGGAGCTCCAACTGTCCCTGCAGACTGTCCCCAAGTGGATCCTGGGCCATCACTCTGGACTCGACTGCAAACGGCTTGTTGACTAATGGACTAACGGACGCGCTGACAGGCACGGCTGCTGCGCCGTGGGCACTTTCCCTGAAGCAGCCAGGCTCTGAACGAAGCTCCCAGAGATCTGTGCTCTTTGCCCGTGAGGCAAAGGCTCCAAGCACGTGTGCAATTTGCCAGTGACCATACAGAGAAGATGGCCGTGGGCTTCACAGCGGCTCTGGGCTCCGGGCGGTATCTCCCGGCACTGCCAACTCCCTGAGGGCTCAGGTGCCACCTGGACTTTCTGATCCCTCCCTTGTTACCCTACAAGTCCCTATTCCAAGCTTATGTCTAGGCTTCTCTGACCTGTAATATTTCCTCTGGCTCCAAAAATAAAAAATGTGAGAATCAGGATGTCTGGTAGACCAAGTCTCTAAAAGGCCAAGCCAGTGGTGGAGCGGGTGCAAATGCAGACTCGTTGCTTTCGCTAGAAGGCACACACTGGGCAGAGAAGGGCCACAAGGGGTCTGCAGGGCTGTTCAGTTCCAGCTTTGCCTTTATAAAGACCAGGGGACAGAGCTGCTCAGTTTTCTTGTTAGCAGAGGGACAGTGAGAAGGCGTGGGCTGCATTTACTGTATCCTCCTGCCCAGGGCGTGCCTGGTGCTGGGAAGCACCCCTCCTCAACCCAGCACAGGCCTCAGGCAGGCCTGGCACACAGTGAGGGAAGGAGAAGTGGAGCAGGCAGGAAGCGCAGCCACAGGGGCCAAAGCCACGCTCCAGGGCTGGGGCCTGGAGAGAGGAGCTGTGTGCACACAAAAGTAAGGAGAAGGAGGCCAGAGCTGGTACTCGGCGAGCCTCCTCCAGGGCAGATTGCGGCCGTAGATCTTATTTAATTGATATTACACTTTATTGCAGAATGTTAAAATTTTAATGTGTCCATAAATCTGTTTCCTGCTTGCGGAGGACTTAGCTGTATGAGGAGCCCTGCACAGGGGGGAGGCGAGGAAAGGGAAGTGGAGCCCGTGGTGCAAGTCATCAATATTTCAGGAGGTGAGAAAATGGTGCCACAGAAGGAAAACCAGAATGAATAAAACAGCTGGGGTTTCGGAGTTGGTTAGCAAAGGCTGCCGGTTAGCTGCAGGGAACCTTTGCAGGGTCAGCTGTCATGGTGCAAAGGGAGCAGACGGGGCTGGGCCCGGGATGTCTGCGTCCGCGCTGAAGCCTGCCTGGCGGAAATTGCCTGTTCCCAGCAGGACAGCAGGGCGAGGATTGGCACCTGACTGGCTGATTTCCACTGTTAGGGTTAAGAAAAGCAAAACACTAAGAGGCTAAGGGACCGGCCAAGGCCCCTCGGGCTCCTGCAAAGCTGAGGCCCAGGTCTCTCTCAGTGACACCAAGAGATGAAGCTCAGCTGCCACATTTGGCTGACATGCGTTCCCCGTGTCACAATCACAGGGCACCCAGAAAAGCAGGCTGGACGATGCCCATCGGGCTCTCCCGACCCTCAAGGAGCCCAGAGTCCTCCGCCTCCCCAGCACAGCTTGTGAGCCTCGTAGGCCCTGGCTCCCCAGGAAGGACCAGGGAACGAGGGCGAGGCCTCTCCTGAGCTGAACTCAAGGCAGCACCAACCCCAAGGGCCTGACAGACACTCAGGAGTGAAGGAAGTGAAGGGCCACAGAGGCTGGGGGCAGGGGTGCCCAGAGCCTGGGACCTCACTTAAATTGCAGCCCCCAGGCCAGCAGATTTTTTTTGAGGTTGTTTATAGATTCTGTGCTACCAGATTGTCTGTTTGCATGAGAAGATGGAAATCTAGGTACTGTTTTCCTTCCTTCTCCTTTCCCTCCAATTATTCATTTACTTGATGTTTGTTTGTTTCTATTTTAACACATGGTCTTGTTAAGTCTCTAAGTTGCCCTGGCTGGGCTCAACCTGAAATCCTCCTGCTTCAGCATCCCAGAGTGCTGGGATCACAGACAAGTGCCCGGCGCTGCTCGGGAATCTAGATGTTCTGAGCTGGTGTGTAGCTCAGAGGGACTGCACGTGCCTAGTGAACAACAGGCCTGGGTTCAATCCCCAGGGATGACAAAAGATAAAAAAAGAAGGCTGGGGTTTTTGAGTACTGTCCCCTAAGGTTTTTTTTTTTTTGCGCCGAATGCCTTCAGGGCAGGTTTGGCTGGCTTGAGTTGTGGGGATCAAACCACAGCAACCTGAGCCTGACTGCTTGGTTGAAGCAGCCACTTAAAGAACTG